TTTTTTCTGTTTTATTGTTATCATCTGAATCTTAATGGCCTAATTTGTTTTGATATATGTCTTTATATCAGTTGGTACTTGCTGTATTGGGCCTGATAAGTCAAATTACATGTGCAAAACTTTATAAATAAAGAGGGAAAATAAATAAATAAATAAATAAACATATCTGGGGTGGAAGAAGAACTTGCATGACCATAAACAGATTTTCATTAAGATAAAATAAATGCAGTGAACATAACTGAGATGGGATATGTAATCATCTGACCTGAGACAGGCTGGAGCAGGACTGCAGAGATTCCCTCCATCGCTCCAACACCGTTTTACTGACTCTACCACAGTCACTGCCGTCTGACACACACACACAGACACACACACACACACAGACACACAGACACACACACACACACAGACACACAAGACCACAGTGATTTTTATTTTTAAAATAGTAACCCGGCTCTACTGAGAAATGTAGAATATCAACCAGATAATATTATTAGAAGACAGTCATACCATCACTGGCTTGGTCCTCGTCTTTCTTCTTTTTGTTCTTCATCTTATGGTCCTTCTTTGAGTCTTCATCAGCTGCAGATGTGAATGAGGCAGTTGTTATGCGGTAAACATAAGTGGAAAGGTTTAGTAAATATAAACATGTAGCTCTAATCGTTTTGGTGCCACCCTTTCCTGCTCTTCTTTCAGGCAGTCACCTTCACTCTCACACACCATTTACATGCGATCATGATAAATCCAGGCCTGGAAAGAAACTCACCGAGCGGAGCTTTGAGGAAGCGTCTCTCGATGCCTTGCTCAATGTTGGTAAGAGCCTGAGCCAGGATCCGTACAGAGTTGCTGACCACCTGAGGAGTTCCACTGCCGCTGGACCCGTACGCTGCAGAGCTGTCAGACTTCACCTCCTGAAGCCTGAAGAATAAGCAGCTGTTTACACACAGGAACGTTCAGCTCTGAACGCACGAAGACTGAGAACCTGATTTGGACACTGGATCATCATGGCCAAACTACGCACCTGTCTCTGGCTCTCAGGTGGGCAGAGTCCACCTCCATGGCCTCCACTCTTCCGTTCATCCCCGTGTTCTCTCTGCCATCAGAAGCGAGCAGCTCGTAATTTCCAGCTTCTAACGCCAAGCGCCATACCTGTCTATCCATCACCTGAACATCAAAAGAGTGAGAGAGATGAGTCAGCTGTGGCTTAGGATACCCATCCTTTACCACCGTCAGCAGGAACTCTCACCTTCAGAGTTCCCAGAGTTCCCTGGTGGATCCGGTCCTCGATATCCAGCAGAAGCTCTCTGAGTCTCACCTCCATCATGGACTCAGCTGCAGCAGTGCATTCTGGGAGTGCCTGGGATGACTCTTGATCCTCTGGGTAAAGAAAAGGTGTGAGTGATTACTACCTGAATAATATTTGTAGTCCTAACGTCCACCCACGTCTTACCTGTGTGTTCATATTTGTTTCTGTCACAGCTCTTCAGCAGGTGCTGCAGCCTCTCTCTCTCCTGCAGCAGCGCCTCCTTCAGGCTGCTCTCTCGGTGACCTCGAGGATTCAGAGCCTCGATCAGATGATCGACCTCCTCCAGTGAACTGTAGAAGGACCACTGGTTGGACTGGTTGATTGGTGGGCTGCAGATGTGGAGGGGGGCGGGATTTGAGGCGGCACTTTTTAGTCACGTCACCATCAGAAAGCTGTGTTATGTGTGTGAAACTAACTGGTTCACTCCCAGTATAAAATGTTACCTACCCTGTACTAGCTGCTTTATCCTTGGCCATTTCCTCTCCTTTCTCCACCTTGGTGGAGCTTGTGTCCTGCTCAGGTTTTGGGCTAGGCTGCAGCATGTCCTCTGTCAGGCCGAAGTGGTCCGCCTCCACAAAAAGGGCGGAGGCTGAAGGGAACAGCCAGTATCGGCGATACAGACGATCTCTACCCAAAGGCAACAGGCAGGTGCAGGCTGCAGCTTTCTGGATGCGTTCCTGCAGCTCTCTGACCTGCAGGGACGACAGAGCTGGATCAAACTTCTGCTTTTTAGGCTTTTGTCATTCTCACTAAGAAAGTTGGCTGAAGACGCCATGAAAAACAAAAACTGCTTTATGAATACAGACGTGTTCACACACACACACACACACACTCTGGGTTGGCAGCTGCCTCTGAACATGTCATGCATCATTAGTCCTGTGTGCTGCTCAGAATTTATTATTTACTGTTACTGATGCTTGTGTGGTTGTTGCCATGGTTTCCCTGCTGTGTTGAGTCTTTTCCCTCTTCTCCTCTATTTTTCTTTCCTCTCCTTCTGTTAACTCTCTTCTCTTTCCTGTGTCCCGGTTGTGTTTGTTCTGATTGTACTAACTTAAAATAAAAAAATAATAAAGACTGAATAAACTAAGACAATCAAGTGGAACGGTAAATCATCCACTTATATTTCTGATTGCTACAGGGGGAAAACGCCTGTTTTAAAAGCAGTTTCAAACGCCTGGACTTTAGCAGAAGACTTTAATTAAAAGCACATTCAGATCAGACGACAACAAGAACTGGGATGTTCAAACACTGAAGTGTTGGTGACTGATATAGCTGCTGTATGACGGTGCTGTGTGTACATGCTCTCTCTTTGTATCGATGACAGTGTGAACAGCATAACTGTTCCTGACTCCCTGACAAAGAGACTAATATTTTAAAAAAAAATTTTTTTTATTTGTTTATGTCTTACGCTTTTATGATTCTGTAAACTTCTTGCTTTTATGTTGCTTTTAAGTGTACAGCGACCTTGAGTGCTTTGAAAGGCGCTTTCAAATAAAATGTATTATTATTATTATTATTATTAATAACCAGCGTCTGTTTCTGACCTTCTCCTGCTCTCTCTCCAGCTCCTCTGCCGTCAGGCTGGTGCGAGGCTTCAGGTCAGACACTGTCTGCTGCTGCTGTTCTTTCTGGTCTCCTTTGGCTGGAAGACAGAAACACATCTGACTTCAGACATTCACAAACTTTATCATTCTTCCTGCTTCTTCTTGTTGTCTTTTTCACCTGTCATCATCTTGCTGCTCTGCTCCTCTTCATGTTCAGTGTGATGTTCTGTACACGAGTCACTGCAGAACAAACAAGAACGTTCTGATATCTGTCAGAGACTCAATGAAAACCAGTAGGAAGGGAAATAACATCAAAGAACACGACTGATGGAGTGCCATACACTCGTGGTAAAGATGCCGACATGTGGAAGCCAGCTGTTTATCTTAAGTCTGAACGTTTCAGGCAGAATAAAATGACTTTGCACTTCCCAGTTACTGAAGGAGGCACTTCACTAAAGTTATGAATGTCTGCAGTTCCCTGCGTACCCATTGGTCTGAAGTCGTCCCTTGAGCTCCTGCTCCTTCATCTTCTCCTCTTTCGCCCTCATCCTCTGCTCCTGCTCTCTCATCTTCTCCTCCTTACGGAGACGAACCCTGGAAGTGCACAGCAGGTGAAACCGGTCATGTTCAAGGCTTTTATATTTTATATACGGTCATGTGTACCTGCATGTCTGTATAGGAGCACCTTTATACATCATGAAAAACAGGTAAAAGAAACCATAGGAAATGATGTACAATGTTTTTGAAGGCTTAAAGTGCTTCTGTTACTTTTTTACCACAGTTGACAATGTAACAAATTACATTAACTTATGTACTGCATTGCTTTTAATGTGCTCCCAATCTGCTGATCTTTTTGGCGGCTCCATAATGTGCTTACATCTCTGTGCAAGCTCGTGATGACCCTCAGAATCACACAAAAAATGAACCGTGTCTTTTCAACAGCTCGAATCATTTCAGAGAAATGGGACCTCGTTTGTCTTTGGCCTCGTGATGTGAACGGTGATACGGCCCTTAACGTGAGCTCTCTTTGGACACACCGCTCTTGCTCAACTCATGGCTTCAGTGTCAGACGTCCTCAATAGGCCACGTGAAAGGATGAGGCAAG